AAATGTTAGTCTTTTTCCATATTATTATTCTACATACTATTTATTAAAACCTTAGATTAAAGAGACCGAAGATGTAACATTGCACACTGCGCATGCTGTCTATTTTAAGTCAAAGTAACCCGCCAATTGAAAATCATTGTTGCACGACGCCACCCGAATTGCTCCGATTTCCATTCAGCGATCACACCTCCACCTGAGTTTAATCACCATTGACAGCAGTTTTTTGATTTATTTGTTGGTATTTTAGCAATTTAAAGTGTTCTAGTTATTCAATTTCAAGTTCAAAATGTCACGATGTATCTTGAAAAATTGTATGTACTTATAATACAAGTACTACTGTTATGAATATATTCGTTTTCAGCGGTAAATATTTATTAACGTTTTGACATAAAGCGCCATGATTCTCTGGGCTGAATACTTCAGATCCGCATTAAGGGGTTTCAATAAATATTAAGCATCAGAAATCAGCTTTCATATTACTTACATAAATTTACAAAAGGGTAAAATTTTGAACATTTAATTTAAATAAATAGTAAATAGGCATTATTGCTAACGAAATTTTGTAATTAAAAAGTAGTTTTATAAGAATGTTTTCTAAAGGTAGTTTTTAGCCCTTTTTGGTAGATAAATAAGAGGTAAAGAATCATAGTTGCTAGCTAAATTTTATTTTTATAAGGTATTTTTATAAGAATATTAGATGAAATACAGGATGACCTACTTAAAATTTCAAGGTTCATCTTATTTGCGGTCAAATCGAAAGTGACATTGAATTTTCAGTCTTAAAACAAAGTAATCTAGTATAAGCCCAAAAAAATACTAAAGTTACAGGAGTTAGGTCCGATTCCACCGTTGTGTTAAACGGAGATTAAAATGACAGTGTTAATGTAAAAATGTCATTTTAAACTTCGTTTAACACAACGGTGGAATCGACCCTTAGTCACGTTAATAAAATGTTACATTACAAACCCCTAAACAACTCGAACATAATTTTCGTTTACTAAAAAAAATCCAAAATTTAGCAATATTTATTTATTATACAAGCGAATGCGATTTCAAAGATAACTGGATCAAAAAATCCGAATCTCTAAATTTTGGAGCTAAATGCTCAGATAAAAGCAAGCGACCGATAGGGGTTACAAAAATAATCGATTTATCGATAATTCTGATATTTTTTAATGAAAATCGATTTATCCACTGTTTTTCATAAATTATTTTCGTTTTTTTTTTTAAGATAATGTATTAATCGATTTTAAAGGAAATACAGAAAAAGTAGATTTATTCAAAATTATCGATTTATCGTTTAATCGGTTTTTTAATTATTTGATTATTTTCGATTTTTCAAAGATATTATATGAAAATAATCGATTGAATATAATCGGTTATTTTACATAATCGATATTTTGGTTATTTTTTTAAAATTATCGATTTATTGGATAATCAGCTTTTTAATAATCAATTATTTTCGATAATCGAATAATCAATTTCAAAGGAAATATGAAAAAAGGATTATTAGAAAATAATAGATAATTCGTTTTATTTTTTGGAAAATCGATTTATCATAGAATCGGCTTCTTAATTAATTGGTTATTTTCGATTAGGCGATTATTTTGGAATTATTGATTATTTTTGGTATTTCAAAGATAACCGAATTATCGATTTTAAAGGAAATACAATAAAAATAGATTATTGATAATAATCGATTGATCGAAAATAATCGATTATTTAAAATAATCGATCATTCTGTTTTTTTTTGAAAATCGATTTGTCAGTTAATCGACTTTTTAATTAATCGAATATTTTTGAAATACAATAATATAGATTATTGGTAATAATCGATTTATCATAGAATCGGCTTCTTAATTAATTGATTATTTTCGATTAGGCGATTATTTTGGAATTATCGATTATTTTCGGTATTTCAAAGATAATCGAATTAACGATTTTAAAGGAAATACAATAAAAATAGATCATTGATAATAATAGATTGATCGAAAATAATCAATTATTTAAAATAATCGATCATTCTGTTTTTTTTTTAAATCGATTTATCAGTTAATCGACTTTTTAATTAATTGATTATTTTTGATTAATCGATTATTTTCGATTTTTCAAAGATTATCGAATAATCTGTTTCCATGGACGAAAAAAATGGTTTATTTGAAAATAATCGATTATTTAAAATAAACGATAATTCTATTTATATTATATTTTGTAAACACTGATTTATCGGTTAATTGGCTTTTTAATTAATCGATTATTTTTTATTTTTCAAAGATAATCAAGTAGTCGATTTTAAAGGAAATTACAAAAAATATATTGTTTGAAAATAATCTATTGATCGAAAATAATCGATTATTTTCAATTATCGATAATTTATTTCGATAATCACTCATCCCTAGCGACCAAATGACTTTTAATAGATTTAAATTTTAAAATGTTATCTGGTTTCAGACATATGCATTTCTAGAGTTTTATGTGACTCATCCTTTATAATAATTAATATTCTTAAAGAAAGAAGCCTTAATATACTTTTTCTGAGGTTACAATACAAAACAGCATTTTCTCATTTTGACTAATTTTTAATAATATGTAATAGCCGTAGAAAAAATATAATGTTCGACTCATAAGGGTAGATTTGCAGTATTAGCCTGCGCACATGCTATTTTTATAATACTCGTAGACAATGAGTAACATTTTTTGCTCTATTAACAATATATTCTATTTCAACATTTTACTGTAATCTCTTGCAGAAAAGTCCGTAGTAAATAAACGCTAACGAAATATTCTATAAAAGGTCTTCTCTTTACATAAAATGTCGTGGCATCTGTTAGATATTAAAAAATCGCGATAATTTGATTTCATAATACAAAATTCGATTAAACACCTTTTAAATAAACCTAATAGTTCATTAAGTTGCTAATAAACAAAGTCCGGTCCCTGTCATAGAGTTCGGGTCGCCGCGTGTCGCCGCCCAGTTCCCCCACTCCGTTAACCCTTCTTTAGAAATTGGCAACATTTGCGCAGGTTTAAAACCGGTGTATGTTATATCTCTGGTCTCTTTTATCTAAGATTAAAACTTACATGGAATAACTTATGGAGGGTGCGGTCGAAAAAAAAAAAATAATTCTGGCAACGTATTTTGTAGAAAATCTTCGTGGAAGTATGACAGGACCAACAATGAAATTACCAATTATTCCAGCCCACACATTAATTTTGAATTCGTGCTGAAAAATGGTTTACTTTTATTGCATGCGGATTTTCAACGGCATAAACATGTTCATTATGGGTATTAGTTATACCTCTTCTTGTAAAACCCGCTTCATCGGTAAAGAGAACCTTTTTGACAAAGTTTGGATCTCTTTCTCTTTGCATATTAACAAATCGACAAAAACTCAAACGAATTTGAGGATCATGGACTAATAATTCTTGTACTGGCTTCTTATGGTATGGATATAGCTATTGTTCTCCAAGCACTTTATGGACGACATCTTTACTTACTCCTAGTTCCCTTCCAATTCGTCTGGTGCTTAATTCTGGATCTTCTTTAACACGTTATAAAATGTCTTCTTCAACTTCAGGAATCCTTACAAAATGTTCTCTTCCATTATCAACAGTGTTGGGAGCAAAGGAACCGGTCTCCCAAAGACGTCTCTCAATAGCATCAAAAGTTGGGTGGCTAGGTACACGACGATTTGGAAACCTTTTAGAGTACACCCTGACACTCTCTCACAAAATCCTAATGTCAGTAACATATCGGTATATTCTGCATTGGAATATTGTACAGCCATATTAATAAACCACGCATTTGTTTTTTAATTATTGAGACAGATAGAGCACTTTCAATCGTTAACAAGAGATTAGGTGTTAAAACTTGACAATATTTTTATTTAGATGAAACTATGGAAACTAACAATAAATGTTTTAGTATACGTATTGCAGGCAAATAATTAATATTCCTCAAAAAATCGTACATGGCAAGAATCGAGTATTTTTGTTAAAAGTTTCGATTAGAGATGTTAAAGAAGATATGAAAAAAGTACATTTTTATGTTTTTCATCGTATAAAATTTTGTCCGATAATAATACATAGGCGTAGAACTTGATTTTTTAAATAATTGCACCTTTAAAAATGCTACGCCAATGGTAGAAAAGGGGTTTGAGTATGAAATTTGGATTGTGTACTAATTTACTACAAAAAAGTACCCTTGATAACACTCGATTTACTCTCATGGTTTTGACAAAGTTTGTATTTTAATAATTATTGTTTATGTTCCAACATTACTAAAATGCAAATTTCGTCAAAACCATGATAGTAATCGAGTCTTATCAAGAATACCTTTTTTAAAGTAAATGAGTTGCACAATCTAAATTTCATACTCTTCCATTGGCGTAGAATTTTTAAAGGGGCAATTATTTAAAAAATCAAGTTCTACGCCTATGTATTATTGTCAAACGAAATTTTGATACCATTTTATTTTCCACATAAAACTCTACCATTATACCCCATTTTAGCAAAATCGCATGTGCCGTTTTAAATTTATATAGGAAAAACGATTTAAAAATTGTAACTTCAAGGCCCTCTGGAGCCCAAACGAAGCAACTTTGTACTAAGGTAATTTTACTTAAATCGACTTATTTTGGTCTAAAGAATATGTGGTATATTGTTGTAAAGACCTTTTACAGACACCCTGTATAATATACACCACAAAATAAATATATAAAAGAGATAGATTGTGTCCCACCAAAATATAAAAAATCTAGTGACAGTGACAATATATCTATATATAATTATTTTTTATTAACATCAAAGTAACCACAACGAGAAAAATGTCCGCTAATAATCGAAGCTCTAGGAAAGTTACTAGTGAACATTATTATTATTATTGCATTTTAATGTTTTAAATATTGATATTATGAATTGTAGATTTTAAAATTTGGTTTAGTTTTATTATTTTCTATTAAATATAGTATTCTTATTATAAACATTTTGTATATTTTAAGGTACTCTGCAAAAACGCTCTGTTCGCCCTGGCCGGTTTCAGCCCGAACCAAATGAACGCTTCTTTTATACCTCTGTTGATGGCTCACTATCCAGCAGGAGCTGCAACCAAGCAACTCATCCACTACACTCAAGAAGTAAACAGCGCCAAATTCGAACAGTTTGACTACGGACCAATCAAAAATTATAATTTATATGGCAGTATCTTTCCACCCGATTATGATTTATCTAAAATAACTGCTCCAATCCACTTTATATACAGTTCCAATGATTGGACAGCGGCAGTTATCGATGTAAAAAGACTTTACAGCCAGTTACCTAATGGTAAAGAGCTGTATAATGTTCCTCTTCAGACATTTAATCATTTAGATTTTCTTGTTGGAAATGATGTCGTTGAATTGGTTTATAATAAAATTTTAGATATTCTTTCTCATTATTAGGATGTTCATTTTGTTTTAAGCAAATTGAAAAGTGGAAGTACCAAAGACACTAAGTACCACATTCACAAATTTAAGATAAATATGTTTATTTCTTTTACCTTTCATGTTTCACTTTATTTTAATTCACATTGAAGTTTAGAAATTATGTGGCACTTAGAACCTTTAAAAACAAATTTGATTTTAAAACTTATTGCTTTTGTTTCCTCTACATTTTATTTGATAAAGTTGATATTTTAAATTATATTATGTAATAAATATTATTTTGGAATCAGTAATAAAATTGTTTTTAAGTTGTTATTATTTATTTTTGTTTCCAACGAAATTTACTTTCCTACTGTATATTGAACTATAATTTTCAGGCATCTAAGCTATTTCAGCCATTGAGATTATCACCAGTTAAAGAACTGTTAAATATGGGAATATACCTCTTGGTCGCCGCGGTCAGTTTTACCCAAATTTAATCCTTTCACTATTCGAAAGGTATAGGCCACTTGGTCTCCAAACCTGGATTAAGGGTTCCAAGAAAATTATGGGGTTATTTAATTACTCTAATTATAATATCGGTTTGTGACCTGTCGAGAACTAAAATAAAAATATTTTTCATCAGTTAATTGTCTGCATTCTTACTGAAAAGATTAATTTTTTTATTTTAAAAGTGATTCTCATCTTATTCATTATTCCATAAAAGAAGTTTTGAGTTTGTGTTGCAATGGAGTCGATGTTAAGTGTAAAAGGAAAAAAGTTGTTAATTGTAAAAAAATATACATTTGGAAAAGACAAGGAAACAAAGTTAGGTGTATCATATAAGTGTACTCGTCGTGGGTGTAAAGCGACTATTGGAGTGGACGATTCGGAAACTGTCTTATTGAAATCTAAGAGTGAACACAATCATCCACCATCGGACCATTTAGATGTAAAAAAACTTCAAAACGGATTGAAAAGAAAGGTAACAGAAGATATTTGCGTTAAACCCAGTAAGTTAATTAATAACGGAATCCGAGGGGAAGTAAATACTTTTAATGTATCCACTACGGATGTTGACCTCATCAGACGAAGCATATACAGGGCAAGAAGAAGTATATTGCCACCTTTGCCAAAGTGTATCAGTGATGTTCATAGTGTACTGAAAGCAATACAATGTGTTACAAATAAGGGTGAACAATTTTTATTATTTAACAATGAAGATTCACAAATTATTTTATTTTCATGTGATTCAAATTTAAAATACTTGTGTTCTCGTGATAGTATTTATTGCGACGGCACATTTATTTATTGCCCTAATTTTTTTTTACAATTTTTCACTATACATGCTGTTGATAACGGACACTACATACCATTGGCATTTTTTGTTTTACCAGATAAAAGAGCAAGTACCTATGCAACTGCATTTAAATTATTAAAAGATTACTGTTATAATAATTTAAATTTAGATTGGAAGCTGTGTAAAGTTATTTGCGATTTTGAGAAAGCCATACACACTGGTATTATACAGATTTGGCCTGATATCTTAATTATTGGATGTAGATTTCATTTAACCCAATCGTGGTTACGTAAGATACAAAATCTGGGTTTGATTTCCGAATATAAAAATGAAAATTCTGAAATCGGCAAATGGCTTCATTACACTTTCAGCATTTTATTTTTGGAAAGTACTGAAGTGGCAGAGTATTTTTGTAAAGATTTAATTCCAATAATGCCATTTGACGAGAGATTAACTTCATATACTCTTTATATGATTAATACGTATACTAGCGATACGTCTGACTTCCCGCCTACAATGTGGGCATCGTGCACAAGTTCCACAGAACGCACAACAAATGCTTGTGAGTCTTTCCACAAACATTTTAATTCTGCTTTTTATTCGGCGCATCCCGATATATTCAAATTTGTTAATGTAATTCTCGATATTCAGTTAAATACTTATGTGAAATTAAACAGTACACATATACAGTTCATCAAATTTCTAGAGGCTTTCGACGGCTAGACAGAGAAAGCACTACTGACAGGCATCCCGACAGATTTACGCAATGAAAGTACACTCTGCGCATCAAGTATTTCACTATTTCATTCAGACGTAAATGTCAGATGTAAATTTCGCTAAAACATTTCTTTTATTTTCGTTTGTGTTTTTTGCTCATTACAGTTTAATAGAACCTAAGTATGGAGTTTAATAGCAAATTAAGAGGCCGCGTGATTAACAGTCAATCTCGCGAAATAATAGCCAATGTTATAGAGTTTATGAGAAGAGAAGGAAACTTTAATTCACCTTCAATACCATTTAAAAATGTAAATGATCGTGTTGCTGCAGCCACAGGAGTATCTAAAAACACTGTCGTCCGCATTTCTGGAGAGAAAAAAAGAATCGATAACCGTGAGATATCGGAATTTTCATCACCAAGAAAAACCATTAAAAAACCAAAAACAGTTAATGATATAGATGAAGCTGCACAAGAATCAAATTTTATTTTTTTATTATTAGATAGCTATTTTTGTTTCTGAGTTGTGTTCATTTACAGGCTCAATTTTTTTCCGTTTCTCCTTTTTGATTTTATATGGGGTTTCAAGTTGTTTTTGACTTATTTCGACGTAAATCACAACAACACACTATTTTAATAAAGCAAACAAGTGTTAAGAGGTATATGTACGTGTAAACTACAATTACAAAAAATTGATATGAAACCCATGAAACCACCAACAAAAATGTAAAGCTAGCTTCCGTACTAGAACATGGTGTCATTCGTCGAGATAATTTATCGTTTTGTTTAATAGATCAAGAAATGTAAATATTCCCCTGTTATTTTTTATAAAATTATAAGAGAAATAATTTTTTTTTTAAATAGTATAGTTCATTATTTTGTAGAAAAACAAAATTTCGAAAATTTTAGTAATGTTTCAGAAACAACCGTTATTAATAATAGGTACCATTTTCCTTAATAAGGTAGAAATAAAACTATTTCCACGATTTACAAAGGCCTACAAAAAAATTATAGGTATTTTCCGCTATCCTATAAAATTTATATTTTCTGACTCAATTTCAAAAGGTTGAAGGAATTCCAAAACACCTTTTATGGCATAATAATTATTTTCAATTCTACATACTATCTTTAGCTGCTTTTAAAAACGTTCTAAGCAAGTCCAATCAGACCAATTTAATCCCTAAACTATTCCACACTTTTAAAATTTAATTACCTAAAAATATTAAAAACTATTTAAAATAACTTGTTTAGCAGACTGTACAATAGCTATCTTAGTCACACGTAGCGCGTTCTCTGTCTGGGCGTCAAACACCTCTAGAAATTTGATAAACTGTACCTAACAAAATTAAAAACGCTAATTACAAAAAACGGCATGCGTATTTAACGAACGTAATAGAACAATATAAAAATAAGATCCTTTCACGAACTCAATTTATCAAAGTAGTTTCTTATCATTACAAAAACTAATTGCAATTTGGGTTTCTTAAATAATTTTTATTTGGTATTTTGTGTATTTTGTACCTACTTTTTTTTATTATGTATAATTTTATATTGTTTTCTATTAATTATAAGTGTTTTTTTAATTTCGTTTTATTCTTTTCCTGACCCACATTCTGTACCATATCATATCAGTTAAAAATTTCTATTCACGTGGAAAATAATAAAAATCAGTTAAACTATTTTTTTCTTAAAAATATTATTTTCAATAAATCGAAATAGATACCTTTAATGATTGATAACTACGGCGACCAAGAGGCCTACCTGATTTTAAAACTGGAGATCAAGTGGTCGATGAGATTACGGAACCCCGCTCACAAAACTAACCGCGGCGACCAAGTGGCCAACACCCGTTAAATATAATTATAATAAAACTTGAAAAGAAATGACATAACGAGTACGATTGTCATTATGTTTGTTAAAGTATTCAACATAATAAATTTAGAGTACTTAAACATAAAAAATTCTCAGTCCAACTCTGGCTGATCTAGAATTCTCAAGGTCATTATGCAAACCACGTCACCAAAGAGTATAGTTAACACAAGAGATCGCACTGAAATGTCAATCGATCTGAAAGTCTGTGACCTTGAAAATTTAAAATATTTTACGCGGGTAAATGTACCTAATCTAATATAACCTAGCTTTCTGATCATTTCTCCTTTTGCTTCAAACATTTATTTATAATCTAATTTTGTTATAGATCTGTATTTTTTCAATACAAATTACATCATGAAGGTTTATGCAGTGAAAAACTGCAAAAATACTAATCAATTTTCTAAATGTAATTTTTCTCATGTGACAGCAACCAACGCTCCGATTGGTGGGGCCAGACTTGTCAAAAATACTCCAGACCAATAAGGAGGAGGCATCGACGTCAATATTATTTTAAAAACCAAAAAAACATAAATTTTGTAATAACGACACTAATTTTGTCTTCAAGTGTCTTAAAATCTGAATATTTTTTACTTTTCGATATCATTTTTCTCCATGTGACAGCAACCAACGTGCTGATTGGTGACCCCAGACTTGTCAAAAATACCCCAGACCAATAGGAAAGAGGTGCCGAGGTCATTGAGATTTGAGCCAGAATTTAACATGGGAAGTATAGGGAGTGACAGGCCTGTGACGTCACAGTCACGTGAACTCCGAGCAATTACTACTAGAGGGAGTCTTCGCCCCTTCCTTGCGCTAAATTTTGTTAGCAACATCTACTCCCCCCGAGGGGGAAAATACCTCTTCTGTAATTGGCTTATTTAATCAGCGTTGCCAAGTTTGACAGCTCCAGTTCTGACACTTTCTGACACATGTCAATTTCTTATTTGTATTTTACGGAAAATATTATTATATATAACGTTGTAAGGGTTGTAAATGTGTATTTAAGATTTATTATCTCTAATAATATGGTGAAAACGGTGCCTGTAAACATAACGGACACACGAACTTCGAAAAAGTTTTTTAACTAAAAAATAGTACTAACTGTATATATGAAATAACAAAAAAAAATTTGCGGGTTACGCATAAATAACAGAAAAATTTGAGTTTTAACCTGCAGATTTTGGTGTTTCTAACCTAAGATTTTTTTCAATTTTCGTGTAATGTATGTGCAAATTTTTAACAAAACCCAGATTAATAATTGACAGAATCGATTAGGTATTTTTATGTTTGATTTTACTCTCTGAAATTATTG